AAAACTCTCTTTCAAGTTTGATGGAGAAGTGAAATACTTCCATGACAAAGAACAGCTAAAAAATTTCGCGATGACAAAGCCAACCTTACACAGGCTACTGAAAGATGTTCTAGAGAGGAACCAAATGATCAGAACTCCACCAACGAGAACAGAAGAAACCCACTAAATAGGACAAACAAACACAGGAGAAAAAACAGTTACAAAACAGCATTCAAATAACATGTCAATCATAAATCAACACATCTCAATAATAACCATCAATGTAAATGGACTAAATTCACCAATTAAGAGAAATAGATTAGCACAGTGGATTAGGAAACAAAACCCAACAATATGTTGTATACAAGAAACACATTTAACTCATAAAGAAACTCACAGGCTGAAAGTCAAAGGATGAAAAACAATACTACATGCCCCAGAACTTCAGAAAAAAGCAGGTGTAGCAATCTTGATCTCAGACAGTCTCAACTTCAAACCAAGAATGATCAAACGAAATAAAGAAGGCCACTATATACTAGTTAGACGAAAAATTCAAGAGGAAGAAATAATAATCATAAATATGTATATACCAAACATGGGAGCACCCAACTGTATAAGACAAACTTTAATAGACATGAAAAATCTAATATCCAATACAACAATCTTAACAGGAGACCTTAACACCCCCTTATCCCAAATAGATAGATCAACCAGACAAAAAATTAGCAAAGAAGTAGCACAAGTGAACCAGAGCTTGGAACAAATGGACTTGGTAGACATACACAGAGTATTCCACCCAACCACAGTGGAATACACATTTTTTTTCAGCTGCACATGGATCATTATCTAAAATAGATCATAGGTTAGTACATAGGTTATGCTTAACTTATGTACATAGGTTATGCTTAAGTATATGCAAGAAAACAGAAATTATCCCATGCATATTATCTGACCACAATGCAATGAAACTGGAAATAAATAACAAAAGAAACCAGAAAAACCCGCTAAATACATGGAAATTAAACAACACCCTACCCAGTAATCAATGGGTTACAGAAGAAATTCAACAATATCTACAATTCAATGAAAATTCATCCACAACTTATCGGAATTTATGGGATGCGATGAAAGCAGTTCTCAGAGAGAAAATCGTAGCTGTGAACTCACACATTAGGAAAACAGAATGGGAACAAATAAACACCCTAATGCTACACCTCTGACATCTAGAAAAGGAAGAGCAAACCAAACCCAGAGCCCAAAGACGAGAAGAAATCATAAAGATTAGAACAGAAATTCAATTGAGATGAAGAAAACAGTTCAAAGAATTAATGGATCAAAAAGCTGGTTCTTCAAAAGATTAAATAAAATTGATAAGCCCCTAGCCAACCTCATCAAAAAGAGGAAAGAAAAAATTCAAATACAAGCAATAAAGAATAAAAAGGGTGTAACTACTACAGACCCATTGGAAATTCAGAAGATTATCAATAGCTACTTTGAGAATCTACTCTCACAGAATAGAAGCCACAGATGAAATGGACAGATTCCTAGAAAGGTACAAATTAACAAAACTGAATCAAGAAGATATAACAACTGTCAATAACCCAATAACAGCCATTGAAATATGGAATGTAATAAAGAGCCTGCCGACAAAGAAAATCCAGGTCATGATGGATTCACAGCTGAATTCTACAAGAGATTCATAGAAGATATAATCCCTACACTCCTCAAACTCTTCAGTGAAATTGAAAAGGAAAGAGTTCTCCCAGAATCATTCCTGGAGACAAGTATTATGCTAATACCAAAA